TATTTATATGCGTTATATGCGCGCTCATATATGTATACAGTTTCATGCAACTGGGCGGGACCATACTTTTAAAAGAAATGGAGATAGAAAAAAGACAAAATTGATATAACTTTTATTTATATGCGCGCTCATATATGTATACAGTTTCATGCAACTGGGCGGGACCATACTTTTAAAAGAAATGGAGATAGAAAAAAATGTCAAAAGACAAAATTTTAAATGGTTATGTATCACATAGTGTGTCGTTTGCAATCACTATATTATTTTTGACTATGTTACGTTTTCGTGCATAGATGCAATTGCAAAGTGGAATTGCACTTTTTTTAAAATAGAATTTCATGTTTTTCTATGTATCAATGAAGTGTTTTATTCTTTACAGAAAACTATTAGAAAATTTTATGCTTAAAAATTGTTAGTTTATAAGCTATTTTACAAAGTAGCATTTGACTCCTCTAAATAGCAACATACAAATAAGAAAAAACAAATCAATCTGTTGATAGAGTCAAATGCTAGTTTGCAAACTCAAAGTTAAAATAATTTCTACACTAACAATTTTTAGGTATAGCTCTCTCTCTCTCTCTTCCTCATAGTTTCTTGTAACAGACAGAAAACTGTATCAATTAAAGTGGATTAGAGCATTAAAAGTATAAGATCTCATTTAAAAAAAGGTGCAATTATACTTCACAACTGCACTTATATAATAAAAATGTATAAAAATAACAAAAATTTGAAGTGTCTAAAATCATTTAATTTTGCCATTCTGATATTTGTTCTATATCTCTAATTATTTCAAAACTACTGCTCTACCCAGTTACGCAGGACCATTTTATTCACATATTTTTTATTTTCAAACATTTTTTACATCAATGTGATTTTTTTCAATTATGCGGTTAATTTTATGAGATATCTGTAAATAAATATTAGCCAAAATTAGAGAAAATGCTAGTCAATAAAGAATTCAATAAAGAAGTCAATAAAGAATTAAAGAGACTTGATGCACACAATATGTAGCTTAAAATTACAATCATATTACGATATAACATCATATTGCATTATTATACATTGAAAAAAATTAGAAAGTAAAACTGGAAAGTTTCTCCTCTTTTAAATAAATATATATTGTGTCAATTGAATAAATGCATATACTTAATGCTATAGGTTAATCAATTAAGTTTTATTTTTTGTTTGAACAAAGACGAGTAATTTTGTTTGCGCAAATACTTCTTCTTAATACAATGCAAGAGAAAAAATTCTCTCCTAGTATTGTCCTTTCCCCACAAAAAAGAAAGACATTTTAATATCTCATTCCTACTTGCTCTTCATAAAAATATGAAAATAACGCCTTTATAATATACTTAACAATGTATTGTATGTATAAAAGATTTATAGTTTATTGACCTGCATTTTCAAAGTTACAGCTGAAAATATGCGTGAATATAAGATGTTGTGAAATACGTTATATTCGATGATTATTTTGTGGATACAAAGAGTAAGTATGTTGACTGCGAAATGGAAAAAAAACGAGAACACAGGTAACCATAAACAAAGAGAAGAGGTACTTACTGATAAGTAAATCGCCGGGTCATATGGAGGAGAAAATAAGATCGAAAGATGCAGCAGGGTCGATCCCCCGCGCATGCAATCGATAAAAGCAGAATATATTACTAACTATACTTTCAAGCTTGTAACGAAAAAATGAGAAAATGTAAAAATCTCATTTTATTTCTGCTTCTTACAGGAATAAAAAAATTATAATCAACTTGATTACTTATTTCTCTCTGTGATAGAGATCATCATATATATATTTCTAGAGCGGGAAATCCTACAACTTTTTTTTTGATAGAAAAGATTTATTCCGTTTGTATAGCTTACTTATTTTTTTTCTTTCTTTTTTCCGACAGCCATCCTACTGATATATGAAGCGTGTGATATCAGCGTGTTCATAAATCTTTTTAAAAAACTTTCCAGTGTACTTATGCAAGGATGATAAAAATATTAATTGTCCCAAGAACTTCATTTGTAGAAAATACATAATAAAATGATATACCTGTCGCGCCCTTCCAGAATGCCCTGGCACCCTCCTCCTTGTAAATCTTCCTGGCACAGTCCAGCAGTCCATTATACGTTGTTTGACCTTTTCTAGCTACGACCTAAATCACACATAATAACAGAATCATCAAAGAAATTGCGATATTTTTATTTAATATCGGCAAAAAATATACCTGCAATCTCGTTTTTATTACGTCCGCAGGAGTGACTAGCGCTGCTGCAGGAACACCAGCAATCGCACCGGAAACGAGAAGCGATAATGGCGTATTGTAACCCCCCTCGTCGGCCAATCGCGCTTTCGTGTGAGCGTACATAGGAAAATAAATGGCGCTAAATGGTACGTCTCGTAAAAAGCAGGCCCTAGCACCCTATAAAAAAATTACAACTGTCAACGCAAGTAAAAAAAAAAAAAAGATAACAGATGTGTTAATAAGATGTCATTATCACTACCCACTTTATATAATCCAAATAGACCTAATTCCTTGACGACGGTCCATGCTCTAACCTTCGACCCTCCTGCGATTTCTCCAGCTACTTGCAGCCGAATTTTTACGATTTCCAAAGGATTGGTGAATATGACCTGCGACCCTCCGGCCTGTAGAAAAAAAATGAAACCTTGTTGCATAAATACCTTATTTGTTCTCCGATTACAGAAGTGTGCGATAAGAATACGTGCGACCATCTAAATTCACTGATATCTTATTATTCATATCTCTTGTATTTGATATTGGGCTTCTGCTCATCCGCTCATCTTGTGTCTCATTCTAAAGTTCACGTTTCATCTAGTTGGAAGCTTTAGAGCACTAAAAATACGAGGTATAATATAAAGTACTCACACAGGCGCCAGATACAATTTCTCCGTATAGCTGTAAATTTCCATTTTTATCCATAAACTTATCCCTGACGAAATCGTTAACTGTAAGTTTAATAGCCTTTTCTGGGGCTACGCCCATTAACTGAGGCACCAGACCTCGATAAAGACCGAAAACGCCCTCATGTCGAATCACCTGTCAAACATGAAACACCAGCTTTATGATTAACAATGTAGAGAGTGTTACACGGTGAGACTTTTTGATTCCAACCTTTTGGAAGCAGTCAAAGCTGTTTCTATACATCAGCTCGCCTATGAAAGATCCAGTCCTTTGATTCTGCATTCTGGTCTTTACCAAATCGATAGGATATACAGCTGTAGCACCAACAGCTAAAGGACACAATCATTCTATTTAATATATTATTGCAATTCAAAAGTTTAGTAATTTATTATTGCTAATCATTTTTCGATTTTGAAAGAAATATAAATAAATAGATATATAAATTTCTATATTTTTATATTGAAAGGATTGAACTGTATGCATTCTGTAGAAAACATTTAGTTTAAACTTGTAAAATTTATATAAGTTTATGTATAATATCAATCAAGAAATTTTATATCATCTTTTAAATTTTATTATTGTATTTAATAATAATGTTATATTAAAAAAGTTACAAAGAAAGTTATGAAGAAAGAGAGAGAGAGAGAAATATTTTTATACATACCTCCACCAATAGAACCAAGCACAAACCGATAGCCGCTCTCAAGTATTTGCACGATAATACCGCGTTCGTCCGGATTCTGTAAGATATAATAGTACTTGCTAAATTAAATATCTAATTTTCTCATCAAATATTTGGCATAAAGAATGTGTGATTAATTTATCAGATCACACAGTTCTTCCATCGCTACACTTACCGACACCGCTTTGATCGCGGCAACGCGCTTTGTAATCTGCTTGAAATACTGCTCAGGTGTAATAGCCACGAGATCATTATACACGATCTTCCTGAAATGTGAAAAACAAATACGAGCTTAGGATGTGTATCAAAGCTGCGATAATAAAGCATAAATATGAAAAAAGATATACGAATAAACTGTTAAAAAAACAGATGCATTGGCGTTGATGGTATTGTTTGAAGCAATAAATAGAATCCTGCCAATATGATCCATCATATGTGCCCTTAGATCGTATCTGTCTTGATGGAGGACAAAATAATGGAATCATTAGTATGCCCATGGCGTGCAAATATAGTATATTTGCGTACACCACCGTCCTAAGATAGACGTTGAGGAAAGTAAGTGAGAACAAAAATATTGTTGAGATATGCACATATATACAATATATATTATGTAAAACATGTTTATAGCACGTGATAGTCTGTAATACAAAGACGCACCCAAGCCGCGAATCTGCCTCGTCATCTTCCGTAGGTCTGATCCAGGCAGCGTAAACACGTAAACAAACGTTTTCAATATAGGAAGCTTGCCTTAACTGCTTGTTCAATTATCGAAAAAATAATAATTAAGCACACACTGTAGGCATAGAAGGCGATTAGAAATGATTCACTCAAGAAGATAGTCTCCGTCTTCCTTGCCAAGAACGAGACATACTTGACATTTGGATGATGACGATGTGCTTGCTGGTGCAGATAGCATTATGTGACTTGTTTTCTTTTCTTATTTATCGCACTGATCGCAAAATCAACGTGGAAACAAGTCTCTCTTCAATTAATAAACCACTATTTCTTAGCTGGAATTAATTGCTAAAGCAATTGCCCCGTTCCACGTGATTTTCTCTCGATCAATCAACAAGAAAAAGAATATTTCAAATCAAAGATACTCACCCAGTTTGATGGAGTAGGTCGCAAAGATGAAATAGGATGTCGACCTCCAATGGGGTTATTTGAGACATCATTTGTGCAGAATAAAGAAATTCCTCTGGCAAAAAAAAATCAATGTTTAAATATTAACAATAAAGTCTATTGAAATTTATAAAAATTGGCAAATGAATAGTAAAAGTTGATGTGTTTGAATGATTATAAAAGTATATTTATTATTATATTAATTATTATATTAAATTAACAACAAAAATATGTTTCTATTTTTAATATGGCTCTTATATCAATAAAATAAAACAGAAAATAAAGAAATTTTCTGATCAACTTAATAATATATTCATCACATCTGTCTTTAAAATAAATTATACCTTTGGTGACTTCTTGATATCTGTGGCCATTGGTCGCATTTAGATAGATACGTTTAATAAGTTCCATATTGTTTAGAAGAGAGTTGAACGCCATAAAATATGGGAAACTGACTTTTCGCCCGCTTTGGCCGGCACTAACTGCCTACAATAAAAGTAAAAATAAAATTCTCTTTATACTATGTGTTAAGTACCTTAACATTTTGAGTAATTATTAAATAATTAGCAAATATTCTGTAAATATAATATACAAGGTTTCGTTAACACAGCTTTTGTAAGCAACTACTATGCTCACAATAGAGTATAGTTTGAACAATTTAATTTGATATATATTTGTTATAATCTATCTCTTTTAATTTAAAAGATAAAAGGTGGCCATTTTTGATGAGACACCCTATGTATATGTGTATATATGTGTGTGTGTAAATATATATTAAGCACATATAACTTAATTATTTTTTTCATAAATTACAAAACATTATAAAAAATTTAATTCTGTTTACATAAAATCTTCTATTTATATAATACTTACAGCTATTAAATTATCTCTCACATCTTTTGTGAGTAGATGACTCTTAATACTAAGCATGATATCTTGAAAGTCTAACGCTGAAATAAAACCCGCGCCATCCTTATCGAATTTCTTAAAAGCTTCTGTTGCATATTCTTCATGAAAGTCCTAAAGAGATAATATTATAGCATTAAATCTTACTCTATTTACTTTATATATGTATATACTTTAATCTTATATTTATAAACCTTTCTAATATACTGCATAACAATCGCAAAAATTAAGAAACCAAAAACAAAAATAAAAATCTTCATAAAAAAATATACTTTAAAAAATTTGATTTTATCTTTTTGTATCTTTGTATTTTCTATATAAGTTTGCGTAAATCAAATTTCATAAAGTATTTTAAAAGTTTCGAGATAAGAAATGCTATTTTACGATTTTCCAACATATTAGTCGAGTTATACACGTAAAGTTATTGCAAACAATAAAGCAAATGTATGCTATGTTTCATCATCACTTGTTACATCATACTTGGTTCATTTCATAGCAAACCAAATTTGCAATCAAGTGTACAATATAGCAAAATACTTACGTGCAAGAATTGGCTAAATTCCGCATAACTGATTAATCTCTTCTTATCTTTTCCGAAGTAAAGTTTAATAAAACTACTGTCCATATTAAAGGGCATTTTTTGATGCAGTACAGTTTGCCGCATCACCTCAACGAACTCATCTGCAATTTAAAAATAAGATATATAAAATACGTATATATA